ATTAAAATGAATTTAAAAATAAATAAATTTCACATGGAAGGAAAAATATGCAAGAACTTTTGGGGAGAAGGGCAGGCACACAGGTTTGCCCTACTAATATTGAACCATACTATAAGTTACAGTAATTAAAACAATCTAGAGACAATAACAGTAGAGGAAACAAATGTATGTGTATTTGGGAGTTTAGTGTACCGTAAAGGTAGCTACAGATAAGTCACAAAAGTGTACTACATGCTGTGGAGAAAATTGGCTATCCATTTAGACATATTGAAGTTATGATTCTGCTACATATTGTAACATAAATTGTAAAATCAATATAGATATATAAAAGTATAGCTGTCTTCCACTTTCTGAACTTGGTATTCAGACAGTATCTAGTTAAATTTGGATTTAAGAGGTAAATTTGGATTTTTATTTTTATTAACCTGAATGCTGAAGGCCCTCCTGCAATAGAGGAAATCCGTGAGTTGTAAAGGAAAAGATGGATATATTTGGCTTTGTCAAAATTTAGTATTAACAGATGTCCATTCAATGAATAAATCTATATTAAAAAGTTAATATTCTTTTTTCTAATGACTTGATTGTAGGTTAGTAAAAAGAGCTTTTCGAGACAATTTGTTCTTAAGGATTTGTTTGTTCCTTAATATTTGTCTTACAGATCAAGGTGCAGCAAAGCCAGTTTTTAATTTCTTGAACAATAATTCCTCCAATTCAAGTACACCAGCCACTTCTGCTAGCGGTGGCATTTTTGGTAGTTCCACCTCTTCCTCCAATCCACCTGCGGCTGCCTTTGTGTTTGGACAGGCCAGCAATCCCGTGAGCAGTTCTGCCTTTGGTAACTCTGCCGAATCGAGTACATCTCAGTCTTTGCTATTTTCTCAAGACAGCAAACCAGCAACCACATCCAGCACAGGTACAGCTGTCACCCCATTTGTCTTTGGTCCAGGAGCCAGCAGTAGTAACACTGCAGCCGCTGGTTTCAGCTTTGGAGCTACAACCACATCTAGCTCTGCAGGTACATTTATAAAAGAAAATATATATATATGTACACACACACACACGTTGTAATGGGATGGGCTTTAATTATAAATGTGTCAATTTTTAGTAAATAATATAGCAGGTTATCACAAAACTACATGAATGTCTTTAGGTCATCTATACCAGGGAGGTTGTAATTATTCATTATGTGGAATAATGTACATTTTGTGTTCAAGTTTGATATATTTAACTCTTGGGAACAATTTTTCTAATCTTAGAAAGTGTAATATTTTTTTTCAGTTTTTGAAATGTGAAGTTGTAAGTAAACAGATACTGGAGGTTGTTTTATTAGATATCAGTCTTTATTATGCAGTATATACATGTATACAACATGAGGCAATTTCTGTACAGATTAAATTTTTGGTGGGAGATTATCTTAGATATATCCATTTACCAAAAATTGTTGGCTGTGAAGGTGGGGAGTGGTTGTTAATTGAAGTTTTTGTTTATACGAATTCTTTATGTTCCACTAAATATGGTACAGAGAGTTATATTTTTAATCATTATTTAAGACTTACCTTGATGGAATTTGGTTAGTAAGGTAATCTGAAAAGAAGCTAGAAATTTGTGGGCTTACAGAAGTTTCCTGAGGATAATCTCACTTTAGCCACTGTGGTGATTTAAGCATTTCCTTCGGCCTCCAGGATCCTCCTTTGTATTTGGAACTGGACCTTCAGCACCATCTGCCAGTCCAGCATTTGGTGCTAACCAGACCCCAACATTTGGACAAAGTCAAGGTGCCAGCCAGTCTAATCCCCCAGGCTTTGGATCTATATCATCTTCAACAGCATTATTTTCTGCTGGTTCTCAGCCTGCACCACCTACTTTTGGGACAATGTCAAGCAGTGGCCAGCCCCCTGTGTTTGGCCAACAACCTAATCAGTCTGCATTTGGCTCTGGGACAGCTCCTAATTCCAGTAAGTGTGTACAGTGATGTAGTTTGTCTCTGTACTTAGGTTTTGTGTGTCTTAAAAATATTTTTCTTTGAACTTTGAAACCATGCACGTGTCTATTTTTTCTGTCTCTTGTACTTGGCAGACTAGAGAGGTATATGTTTAATTCACCTATACACAATATTCCCAGTCATAACTTTTTAAAGATATTAAAGTATACTCCTCTAGCTCAGGCAACAGAACAAGACTCTGTCTCAAAA